GGAAGGCAGCGGGGGGCAACGGCCCCTGGGGAAGCCCCGCCCCGCCCCGCCCTTTGTGAGCGCCCCCAGACCCCCCATGATGAATGGGCCCCTTCGCCGTAATGAGGGCACTCGTACACGGTTACGTTCGTACACTCGTACAACAGGCATTGCTCGGCTGGTTTCTGACGCCCAAGCTCGGGAGGCTCCCGTACAGCGGCTGGCGGATGCAGTGGCGGGGAGGTTCTGCTACGGCGTCATGGCGGCGGCCGCCGCCACGTTTGTGTTTTGGATAACTGCGGGCCCCGCCCTTTTCCCCGGAGTGGTCGGGGATCCGGAGCTGGCGGGAAGCGGTTGGGCAGCGGTTGAGGCGTCGTACCACAGCCACGGTGGGTTGTGGGAGAACTGGAACTAGAACTGGGGAAAGGTCTGCTTGTCTGCCCGTATGTATGTATGTATGATGTCTGCAATTTCCTCCCCGTCTCTCTTCTTTCTCACCTGAGGCCAACTTTAACCGAAATAACTGCTGGCCGGGCTGTAGGTGTCGGCGGCTGGGGCGGCGGCGCCGCCGCGGCGGCGTACGACGACGACGCGCTCCTGTCGTCATCGGCGCCGCCGCTGCTGCTGCTGGCGTTACGACTTGCAGTTGATGTGTTGGTAGTGGCATGCCCGTGTGCTCTGGGGTTGGCCACCCCCACTGCCGTACTCGTGGCGTCGTCCCTGGGGGCTCGGAAGGGCCTGTTGGTGAGGAGGGTTTGCGGGGGGGGGAAAGGGTGTCTTTGGGTATGTTTTGAGTTGTGGAAGGTCATTTGTTGTTGTTGTTGTTGCTACAGCGGGCTACCAAGTTTCTATACCGCGATGCAAAGCAACCGGTCTTTGTGGGGGGAGTGGGGCCCGCGATGGGGAGAGCACCGGGGGCTTGGTGGGTGGTAGGACACGCAATGCGCGCACGCACACACACGCACACACACACATACACGCACACACACATATTTCCGTTTGGCCGGCACAAGGTCTCCCCTAGTTCCCCTCTTAACTACCCGTTACCCCCAACCCCCGGAAACCCCTAACCCCCCCCCCCTTTCCCACTGCACCTAAGGTTCGTGGAGGTGACGTACTTGAGCGGTTGGCGGCCGTTGACACTGTCGTACTTGATAAAACGGGCACACTAACCGAAGGTGGGTCGGGGGTTGGCTAGGGCCTTGGTATGGCCACATGAGAGGATGAAATGAGCTGTGTGTATATGTGTGTGTGTGTGTGTGTTGCCGTACACGTGTATGGCGATTGCGGGAGGACGGTTGACGGGGCGAACAAGATAAGGCGTGTGCATGCGCTTGTGGCTGTGGGGCCTACCCTTCTTCTTCCTCCTTCTTTTCCTCTTCTTCTTATTATTATTATTATTCTCGCTTCCGAGAGTCTAGAGTTGGTTGGGTATATTTTAGCAGTAGTCCGCTCTCCCCCCTCGCAGCCCGCAGCCGACCCGCAGCCGATCCGCCCTTTCCCGGTAGGTAGGTAGGTAGGTAGGTAGGTAGGTAGGTAGGTAGGTAGGTAGGTAGGTAGGTAGGCGGTAGGTAGGCGGTAACTATGTCATTCGCGTTTTGCATTCTTCTAGAGCCTGATCAAATACACACATATGCATTTAAAGCTGCTGGGCTCCCTCCCCTCCCTCCCCCTCGGCTCATCACGCCCCGTCCGCTCCGTCTCAGGCAAGCTCCGAGTACTAGGAGTGCAGGTGGCCGCATTGCCGGCGCTGGTAGATGTGTTTCAGACTGAGCGGGAGAAGGAAAGCGCAACAACAACAACAACAGCAGCCAGCAGCAGCGGTGGCTGTGGCGAGGAAGAGGCAGTGCTGCGCCTGGCCGCGGCGGTGGAGGCCGCAACGCGCCATCCACTTGCGGATGCCGTACTGGCGGAGGCGCGGAGGCGCGGCCTGGGGACGCCGCCGATGGTGGAGGCGGCGGCGACGGCGGCGGGACGCGGCGTACGTGCGAGGGTGGATGGGCGGTGGGTGGCGGTGGGCCGTCGTGAATGGGTGCTCGAGGCCGTCAGCGGCGGTCGGGCCGACGCCGCAGCGGCGGCGGCGGAGCCGACGCTGACGGCACCGCCGCCGGAGGCAGCGGCGGCCGGTGCTACCTCCGTCTGGGTGGCGTTGGAGGGTCGAGGTGTCGTGGGTCGCATTTGGCTGCGAGATACGTTGCGGCCTGATGCCGTGTCGACGGTGGCGGCGTTGACGGCGGCGGGCAAACGCGTGTACGTCATGTCTGGCGACGACCCCGTGACAGTTGCGGCGGTGGCGGCGGCGGCGGGTGTGGCGCCGGCGGCGGCGGCGGGGGCCCTGTCACCGGAACAGAAGCTGGAGGCGGTCGGGCGGTTGCAGGCGGAGGGGCGGGTTGTCGCGATGGTGGGCGACGGCATCAACGACGCTCCGGCGCTCGCGGCTTCAGATGTGGGGGTGGCGCTCAAGGTACGACAACTGAATGGTTTTCTTAAGGGGGGGAGAAGGAGGAGGAGGACTGTTAAGGAAGGGTGGTGCAGGTTAGGAAAGGGTGGGGAGGGGGAGTGTCATGGACTGCGTGTTGGCGGGGGGTTGGAGGGGTTTTGGCGGGGGGTTGGAGGGGTTTTGGCGGGGGGTTGGAGGGGTTTTGGCGGGGGGTTGGAGGGGTTTTGGCGGGGGGTTGGAGGGGTTTTGGCGGGGGGTTGGAGGGGTTTTGGCGGGGGGTTGGAGGGGTTTTGGCGGGGGGTTGGAGGGGTTTTGGCGGGGGGTTGGAGGGGTTTTGGCGGGGGGTTGGAGGGGTTTTGGCGGGGGGTTGGAGGGGTTTTGGCGGGGGGTTGGAGGGGTTTTGGCGGGGGGTTGGAGGGGTTTTGTTTTTTACGAGTGTGGAGGGGGTCGGGGAGGTCGAGGCGGAGTTCAACCGCGCGGGAAATTAGATTGGGACATGCAACGCGACAAGGAGGTGCGTGCGGTTAACTTTCCTTTAACCCGAGTATTATTTATTTTATATTACCAAATTTTTTTACGGCTAATATAAAGAGCCTGTTCAAAAACTGCTCCAGAACAGGTTTACATCGTCTTTTTTCTACCTCCACCCCATCTCAGCCTGCCAGGCTTCCCCCGCCTCTCCCCTGCCTTAACCTTGCTAGGGCCCTGCATACCTGGATAGACCCTAAACGTGTATAAAGCCTCCTTAAATCCTTCTATAATCTTCTATAATCTTCTATAATCTTCTATGATCTTCTATAATCTTCTAGAAGCTTACCGTCTGGCCGTGTTTTACCGTTCCCTGATGGACTGATGCGACCCTGGCGGCGGCGCAGGGCGGTCTGGATGCGGCTGGAGAGGCCAGCGGGGTCGTGCTGATGGGGGACAAGCTGAGTCAGATCCTGGATGCCCTGGAACTTGGATCCGCAACTTTGAACAAGATCCGTCAGAACCTGGCCTGGGCGCTGCTGTACAACGTGGTGGGGATTCCGCTGGCAGCAGGTGCGGGAGGGTGTGAGTGTGAGTGCGTGTGCGTGTGCATGGAGGGTGTTTGTATTTGTCTTTTATACGGTCCGAGCCACGGCGCGATGGAAGTGAAAAGTGGCAAAGGTACCAGGTACTCCTTAACTGATCATAACCGACCAACTCAACCCCATCCGCAACTAAAACTCCTGAAAACCACCGCAGGAGCGCTACTGCCGTCTTTTGGGTTATCCCTGAACCCCTCTGCTGCCGCCGCCATGATGGCGTTCAGCTCTCTGGCTGTAGTCAGTAACAGCCTGCTGCTGCGGTCCGGGAGGACGGTGGCGGCGGAGCAGTCGCCATCTCCATCGGCGACGGCGGCGGCTTCGCTTGTCAAATGAATGAAAAATGAGCTGTCTTTGTTGGAAGCGCGCCTTGGTCATTCGAATTTGTTTATTTGATTTGTGGATGCTGAAGAAGGGGGAAATGGAAGATACGAGACGTTTTCTATAAGTGGCGGTAGATATGACATTGTCGTTACGGCATGTGTAAGGAGGCGGGAGGATAAGGTTTCACTAACACTAACACTAACACTAACACTAACACCGATGGAAACCTTATCCTCCCGCCAGTGTTGATGCAGGGAGGGCAGTTAAGGGCAGTAAGGGGAGAGCGGGGAGTATATGGTGGTGGTTGTTTGAAAGTCTGTTTGCTTTACTTGACGGATGTTTACATCCTCCAGTGTTTTTGCCTGTACGGTTGAAAGATGATCGTACTTGTGCTGTTTCTTTAGCCTGTTTTGGCAAACAAAAGCATTTTTTCATTCTGCCAGTTGTTATCTTTTTTCCTTAGCTCTCTGTACACTGAACTAAAGTGGCAATTTGTTCGGCGAAGGAGATTGCTGCATAATCAGATCACACAAGTAATGAACTTTGTATTATAACACTCCTTTTCAACCAACAAACAATAACTAATGGAAGTAATTTTACAACTTGTCAGAGCAAATTGCAACGCATACAGCAAACAGACTGATCAGTCTCCGCCCCAGCATAGAACCATCGCAGCCAGGTAATGAAACTGTATCACATCCCCTCGTCTCACACCCCTCAACCCATCCCCTATTCAGCCTCCATTTCTCCCACCCCACTACCTCGCGATGGATAAGTGGGACAGTCGCAGCGTCTCAGCACTTGATGGCAACGACAAAATACGGTTTTATATCAAGCGAAATAGGGAGTGGTGGAGGGGAAATGAAGGGAAGTTCAGGATTACGAGGGAAATACGCCACAACTAACTCCACAAATACCAAATAACCAAATAACTCCACAAATAAATATCTCTCAAATTTTAAAACACTCGTTACAAGACACGCTCTCGATGCAAAACTCCGTACAACAGCTCGTATCACTCCCATCAAAACTGGTTGGGAAGCGCCAGCGCACCCCCTCCCCCCGCTGAAACTCCGCAACCAAACTCCTCTCACGTTTTAAAAAACCTGAGATGATGCTCTACATGCTCAATCTCCACACTCCCCCTCATCTCCCCCTCATCTCGCACTCGTTGACTCCTTCGACCAATCGACGGGACCGACCCTGACCACACGGGGTGAGACCACACGACACCATGCCAGACTAGCTGTGCCCCTAGGGGGGGGGGCCGAGGGGTATCCAGAGGGGTACAGCCGCAGGTACTCCTCGACCCCATGACGGGGTGTCTCGGACATCAGACCATGCAGCCGAATCTTATATTTTGCACGTACCACGCAGCGGCAGCAGAGCGGGGTACATCAGCAAAAGAGCTGCTGCTGCTCACTACCACCGACCACTGACCACCGCCGCCGTCGTCGCCACCACCGCTAGTCTCACCACACTAGGCGGTGACCTTGGCGGCGGCCAGGACCTGGCGGCCATAAAGATGCGCATAGGGTGAAGGGGAGGGAAAGCGTGAGAGAGACGAGAGGAGGGGAGGGGAGGGTGTGGGGTGTGGGGTGTATGAGTTCAGAAAGGGAAGACCTTCCGGGGATTTGGGGGTATATTTAGAGCTAATGGGAATGTGTGTTTTGAACACTAGATAGAGTAGTAATGCGTCGAAGTGAAGTGTGTGTGTATGGCATTGTTGTGACGATATAGTACTTGAGCGGGGGGAGGTCTGGAGATGCACAGCACCATTCAGTGGTGGCTAGGACAGACAGACAGACAGACAGACGGAAAGAGACGGGAGTTGCTTTGGATCAAGTATAATAATCGCTGTTGAGGTCGATAGACGGACAGACAGACAGACAGACAGACAGAGAGAACACCGTGCACACGACACCACGTTGTATGTTGAGAGACACCACGGAGAAGGACGGAGGTGCAGCAACGGTGCAGAACAACAAAACGAATTAACATGTTGGGGTCACTCATACAACATTTCCGCACCTTAAGCGCCTCATCGACGTGCTGCTCCACGTTGAATTGGTCGTTGAAGGACAGCACGCAGCGACCGGACACGTCGATGACATACGTCTGGCGGCCCGGCAGGAGGCCCAGGAGGTCCGCCTTGATGCCGAAGGTCTGGTGGGGTTGGGCACCACCGCGGGAGGGGGAGGGGGAGGAGGAGGAGGAGGAGGAGGAGGAGGAGGAGCGAGGTGAGGGAGGGGGCGCGGGAGGAGGGGAGGGAGGGGGGGCAGGCGGGAGGAGGACGCGGGGGAAAAGGTAGGCGGTAAAGTAGAGACAGAGTGCATTTTTTGTTTTTTTTGTGTCTGTGCGTATGTGTAACCTATCGACCTATATGTAAATGTACGTGTGTATGCGTGTTTTAGGTGTGTATTATGTATGTGTGTGCGTGTGTTTGTTAACTACCGATCCTGCTGATGCGAATATCCAGGGTTATGGTGCTTTGCGACTTCCTCGCCTTGTCGGTGTCGGGCAACGGGAGCGAGTCTGTGTGTTCTTGTGTGTGTTTGTTACGTACCGATCCGGGCCTGGTGGCAGTGGCCAGGTCCACCTAACTGTATACCCCAACGGGAACGACCGCCGAAGCACTCTCCTCCTTCTGGGGGGAGGAGAGGGGCGTGAGGGGCCACTATCCCCTCCTGCTCGCCCGAGGGCGCGCGACACACTCTGTGTCTCTACCTCACTCTGTGTCTCTACCTCACTCTGTGTCTCTACCTCACTCTGTGTCTCTACCTCACTCTGTGTCTCTACCTCACTCTGTGTCTCTACCTCACTAATCGATGATGAAAGAGCGCACGGTGGCTACGAAGGCCCGCTCACAACCAACCCCCCTCAGCGCGCGCTGCGGCACCGTTCTGCCCCCCAGGCAGCCTTTGCACCATTTGTACCCGGGGTGCGGCTACCCGCCCCGGGTGAATCACCTTACATCACCTTGAGGTGCCCTTCTCCGTGATGTGGGGCAGCCTTGTGTCTGTATGTGCGTGTATGTGTGTGTGTGTGTGTGTGCTGTGCGTGTGTCTGTGTGCGTGTGTGTGCGTGTGTGTGTGTGAGAGAGAGAGAGAGAGTGCACGTGTAACCCCACCTTGCGCAGAATGGCGTTCTGGTCAGTCAGCAGAGGGTACGGCAGGTTGTTGGCCTTGGCGAAGGCGGCGTTCTCCTCCGGGGCGTCAGAGGAAATGCCGTACACGGCCGCACCCGCCTGAGTGAAGCGGCTGTACTCGTCCCGGAAGCGGCAGGCCTGCAAAACATCAGGAGGGGGGGCAGGGGGAAAAAGAGAACACAAGGGGAGAGAAACGGACACCAATTACTGCGAATCCACAAAAATTCAGAAAAGGAAATGAAACGTTGCTGTTGTGTTGTCGTAACGTTGCTCTTGCTGTACTTGTCGTTGTGTTGCTGTTGTTTGCTCTGCTGCTGTTACTGAAGGTTGTCAGTGCAGGTCCTTCTTGTGATGTGCTGCTGGACGTCAGTGACTCTCAAGGTATAGGAGCTCTTAAACCTTATCTCGCTGCAAAAAGCAACTCGTGCACGTAAGAATGGATGCCGTACAATTGTCGTACCTCCTTGGTGCAGCCGGGGGTTGCGGCCTTGGGGTAGAAGAAGAGCACGACGGGTTGCTTCCCCTTGAAGGATGAGAGCGACACAGAGCCGCCCTGGCTGCTCCGCAGGACCCTGACGGGTGGGGGTGGGGGTGGGGAGGATAGGGAAGAGCTTGAGGAGGGGGCAGTTGATCGAACACGAGGAAGCGTTTGCGGGCCGCGAGGAGAGGGGGAAAAGAAGTGGTAGCATAGATACACGGGGTGTCCTAGACCTTAAGAAACCAAGGGAGTTGCAATGTGACTGAGGGCAGCAAAAGAAACACCAGGCAAACGTAGACATTTCGAATGTTGCCGAATATACCGACCAAGGCCGGGGTCGAAGGTCCCGAACTGGGTAAAGGGAAGGAACATATACGATACTGCCACAGTGCGAACATCAATATGATTAATTGCTTGTTTGCAAGGGTAAGCATGACCCGCAGAGAACGGTAGGGCACAAGGCACGGCAATCCTACCACGCACCTGTAGTAGTCAGGGTAGTTCTCCATCTTATCACCAACCTTCAGCTCGGCCTGCCAAAACAATGTACACAGTGCCGATGCCCGTTCGGTGTTACCCAGATTATACATTCCTTCCGCTAGGACAGAGCACGGTATATTTCGTGAATGAGCAATCTCATTGCTCATAAAGTGGAGGAGATCTCTTACAGCGCAAACGCATGTTGCAAGAGCGCAGCACGAGATGAGTCGCGAGAGCAAATTAGACAAAAGGCACCTGTAAATAACTATATTAATACAACTGTTTCACCTTAACAAGCACAACGGCGGACCGCTGCACGCGCGGGGCAGCGCGGACCGTTGGAGCGCGAGCCACTGGCCGGGCAATTGGGGCCTTCAGCGTTTGCATTTTTCCTAATTCAAGAAATGGAGCCAGATGTCAAATCCCTTTGCAGTTTCTTTTGCAAGTATAGCGCTCAAATCGCAGTTGACGAGTAGAAGGTTTCAGACCTTACGTCGAGATAAGGCCTATTTGACCTTTTTTGTCAACTTGCAGCTGAGGAACGCACCATCCTCAAACCAAGCAGCTCAGTTTTCGAGGCTTTACTCTATCTCTCGTATAAATAAAAATAATTGGGAATTGTCGCTAAATTTTCCGATGGAAGCCCTCCCATCGTTGGGAAGCGTAAGGCCTTCATCTGTCCGTCCACCGGATCGCAGGCCCTATCATAACCCCACGCAAATTCCTCTAGGATAATGTTCCGAGACATCAACTCGATGACCAATCACATGCATGACCCGCAACTAACCCAGAAGTATGAATTCCCTGATACTTAATTCCTGTGTGTCCGCGGCGCCCAAACGCTGCTAAGTGTGAGGCCCTGCTTGCCCCCGCTTTCATGCTGCCGGCAAGATGAAAGGAGAAACACTCGTGGGGGCCCCCCGATGCCAAAGGGTTGGGCGTCCCCTGCGTCACTATCACTCCACCTTTCCGTCCACCTTTCCCTACCCTGCTCAAAACCCAGGGCGAGCACAGGACCGTGTTTTCCCCCATATCCACCGCAATCCTTCAAGCATGTTTGCAGAGGTATCAGTTCCCATCTGGGGCGCTCATTGCATATGGGGCTGTCGACCCGACCCGATCCGACCCGACCTGACCCGACCCCATCCGACCTGTGGGTCGCACCACTCACTTCAGTGTCGCCTTTGTGGCCTATTGACGATGCGAAAGTTTCAACCTGGCCCGACCCCACCCACGTGGGTCGCCTATGCACCTTTTGTCGTTTTAAATTTTGAATTCCTGGCTGTTGCAGCAGCGGCAGCAGACGACAGCGTTGGCAATAGTGACCGAAGGAGGAGGTGCACTCGCGCAGCATTCCTCCCCCTTTTCGGGCATCTTACGCCTTGTCGGAGGTGGCGATGCCGCGGGAGGTCCCTCCGGCAGCTCCTCCATGAGCCCGCCATTGCCATGGGCGCTACTGCCGGTACCAGTGCGCGGCCGTAGCTGCACTACGGTGGGACCCCGCGGAGCCCCATTGCCCTGCATATTGACGCTGTTGTGCTTCAGGCGGCTGCGCGCCATTTTCTCCGGCTAGGGGAGGGATGCCTGTCAGACAGGTC